TTAGTCTATGATGGTGATGTAGTCACTGAAAAAGATAGCACATGTTGAGGGCCACGTTTGCAAGAGTAATGTTAGAAAAAGATGGGAAGTTCAGTCTTCAACATAATGTATCTGATGCATCCATGAGCAGTTCTAAAGGAAATACTGAGATATGTAGCTCTGAAACCCAAAATGAATACATACAGCCAGATCAAGAACACAGATTAGAACAAGGCACAGAGAAACAGAAGAGTTTGTTGTATAAACCCCTACTGTTTTCTCAGAAATGTCAGAAAATTTGCTTTACCAACATCTCTGAAATCTTATAATATATTTATGAGGTAGAACCATTAACCCATTTTATAAACAAGGAAATTAGTTCGAAAACATGTTAGGCAAATGTTGAAGGCTCTTCAAATATTATTTGATTTTTGTTCACTCCAAAGACTTCGCTTTCACTTGAATTCTCTTCTACCTCACCTGGGTTACACAAGGGGAAAACATACATGGGCTGCATGGGGAGTCTGTGTACAATGTGATGATGTCTTAAAGTGGAAAGAAAAGTTCCTACTTGTGCCCAATAAACAAGGAGGACCTGATTCTTGCCAATAATAATGGTAACGAAAAAGATAGAAGAAGAGTCAAGCAAAAGTTGATTATTGATTATTGGCAAGGAAATAGGAGAAGCCAGGCAGAATTTAAGTTTCTGGTGCAGATGGAAGGGCCAGTGGGTATATATTTGGCTAAAACAGAAAATATTATATGAGGAACTGTTCCAGCAAAAATATGAAATAAAACTAAAATGCCCTTGCTGAGTCTGAGGACCCTAAAAGAGGCCTATATAAAACAGTTCAGTACACACCGTGGTGGGTAAATGTGGCACTGAGGTAAGAGGTCAGAGCTGGAGACAAAACATAGGAACTGTAAAATTCCAAAAATAATATTTAAGATTTTAGGTATAATTGATAGCCTAAGAAAGACTGTGACAAATACAAAGTGATGTAGATCAAGGAAGGAACTTTGGTGAACCCCAACATTTCATGAGAAATCGCAAGATATAAAAGTGAGTTACAGTCCTTGGAGCATCAAGTTATTTTGGAACTCAGTATTGATTTTAATTAGCTTAATTTTTGTCAGATGAGGTAGGTAGGGATATATTTCAAAATATTGTTGCTTTCAGTAGAGCTGGCAGATTGAGTTCTGAATTTTTTTTTTTGTATTGGGAATCGAGCTCAGGACCTTGCACTTGCTAGGCAGGCATGGCACCACTGAGCTACATCCCTGACCCAAAGTTGTGAATTTTGACAATGAAAATCTTTATCATGTCATACCATTTAATTTTATACATTTAATATAATATTAATTGATCAGCAAAAATGAAAAAATAAAAATAAAGGAAAGGACAGAGTGAAAAAGGGGAAACATATGTAAGGAAGGTGGTCCATATGTTATAAAAGAAATATAAAGACTTGGGTCACAGAAATTTGGGTTTAAGTCCTTGTAACAAATGACCAGCTGTCTTTCCTGGACATATTATTTAGCTATTTGAACTTTAATAAACACAATAAGTGCAATAATTAACCTCAACAACTATTATTTACTTGCTGTATGACTGGATGAATTAATTAAATTACACCTCATTCAAAATAGTCAGATATGTCTATTGACGTAATATACTCATTTAAATACCCCAGTGCATAGGAGGCCCATTCCATGTATTAGTAGGTGGCATTACTTTTTGCAAGTGATTTTTTTTTGGTACTGGGAATTGAACTCAGGTTCTTGTACTTGCAAGGCAGGCAGCAGCACCACTGAGCTAAATCCCCGGCCATATAAGTGATTTTTAAATGCCACTCCTCTCCAGGAATCTAATCTCAGCCCATTTCTATTAGAATTCTGCATTTCCATACTATCTTATCTAGATATTAATCATTGTAATTATCATTCCAAATTATAATTATTCATTGACTATATGCATCTTAGATTCCTGTTGTCTGTCATTTACCTTTCTGCTCTTTAGTTTATTTCTCATCCATCATCTGATTTTCTCTGTATTTGAAGAACTGTCATTTCCCAGGTTCACTCACCGTTTGGGTTCCATATATATGTTCTGTTACAGCGAACAATGACAAAAGGAGGACATATGCACAGTTAGGTCTTTCTCTCTCTGGCTTCTGCAGCAGTTTCTTTCATGAGTGATATCACAATGCCTTTATTCCACTGTCCCCAGGGAGTCCTCATCATCTCTCCCGCTCAGTAGATCTGTGGTCTGTATTTTAGTATAAACATTTCCTCCCTCTATCTTTCTAGGCCTATGGGGGAAAGAAAAATTTTGCTAACCTCTAAGTAGCCACACTGTCTTGTTTAATCTCTTGGGTGTTACAGCACATGAGTAACTAGCTAATTGTATTCAATTAATTGAGAATGATCATAATTGATAAACATACTGAATGAATTTCTGATGCTGTGCCTTATTAGTATTTGAATTATTAATGTGAAAAAATGCTTGCACATATTGTCAGTTCAACATACTTCCTTACTCAAATAGTGCAGACAATTGAAAGGAAAAGTTAGCAATTGCATAAAACAGAGGAAAGAACCCCGTGACTTATAAATATTAACATATTGCAATGCCCTTTTGGAACCAAAACCCTTCACTTAGCAGTTAATCAAACATCTAAGTAATTATAATGTAGAAAAGAGAAGTCTGGGAGGGCAGCATCTGAATCCACACACCAGAGGCGCCAGGGGGAACATAAAGGCCATGGTTACGAGCCCCAGAAGATAGAGCAGAAGTGAACAACAGAAAGGGTCTTTCTGATGCTCCTCAATGAAAATTGAAGCCCACTGGGAAAGTGAAGAAAACCTCTTCAATAAAAGCACACTGGGCCATCATTGTTGGTAAGTTGGTGGGATCAGCACCTCCCATAGAAACCCGTACTCACGTCGGGGGAGGACAGCTGGAAGATTTAGTAGAACTTTGCAGAGTTTAATCCTGCAGGGTGTCAGGGACCTCAACTTGGACCTTGCAGCCAGAAATCAGCCTGAATCTCAGTAGACTACAGCTGTCTTGCTGAGACTAGTCAACCTAGACTGGCACACTGCTGCCCACATTGCCCACCAGGACAGCAGAGATATATACTGAGGGAGGCCTTTTTTCGTTTGTTTGTTTTGTTTTATATATTTTTTCTTTTCTTTTTTCTCTCTCTCTATACCTTCTGGGTCTATATTTCTCTCCCTCTTTGTTTCTGTTCCTGTCCCATGCTGAATTATTTCTCTCTCTCTGTCCTCTCGACTATCAATTTTATAGGAAGATGAATACAATTTCTAGCTCCCTATTGTTGTCAGTTTGTTCTATACTTGTCTCTGTTCTTTCACACTGTCTTCTCCTCTGGTCTTCAACAGATTCCCACAATTTGCATGATC